AATGAAAAAAAAAACATGATAGGAAGGAAAAAAGAAAGGAATTAATTAGGCAAGACTATATGCAACATTGGTATTTGAAATGGGGTCGGACAAGGGAGACTTGAGAGGATATTCAAAGAATTGGAAGTAGGAATAGACTGGGAAGATGGTAACACTGAGAAGAAAAGGTGCAGCGGAAGAAGAGATGATGAAGAAGTAAGGAGGATGGCAGATGAGTCTTTCTGTGAAGCCTAACAAAAAAAAAAAGAGAGAGAGTTAAGCTTGTCATCTCCTCTGTCATCTCCCAGTGTACCTGGAAAGTGAGTTGTGCACTCATCGTTAACTTGTACCAGGGAAAATAATGCTTTGTATATTTGTAAAAAATGAAAGAACTAGGTTGTCAGCATAAATAATGGTGGGGTAGCGAGGTGTTTTCAACACTGCTGGTCATCAATTCACAACTACCCTTCCTCAGCAAGTTCCTTGATTTCCCTCAAGTCCTAATTTTCTTATGTAGAAAAATAAATCATATTGTTTGTTAAATGACAAGGAAATGTTCACAATTTACAACCTAATGACCAGAAGTATGTGCCCAAAGAGTATTTCTTGGATAAGAAACAAATATTGCAGTTCTAGTGATTAGATGTGTCCAATTTGATTTAAAATTAATAAAATCATTGATTTCTAGTACAAGACAGTTGTACCAAGGGCCTTTTAGTATTCTGTCCAGTATTTATTGTGTTAAATACCTTTCAACCAGGTTGACTTAAAGGATGCCCAGAACCAGGTGTTTTAAGTAGTACATAGCTGTTATTTTTGCATTTAACCAGATCATCTGATACATATCACCATCAAAATTGTGAGTTGTCATAGAAATCACATGAAGAGTTAAATGAAAAAGTTTTTTATTCATATGTTTTAAAAACAGAACTCATTATTTTCTGTAATTTGATTTATTTTAGCCACTTCACGATTTCTGTTTGGCCATGGGCCTCAGATATTGTTCTGGTTAGCTTTGCTGATTTCACCATGTTGCAATGATTAGCAGCCGTGATGGTCATTCAGTCCTTTTCTTTTCATGGTTTAGCTTTCTTCTGAAGCCTTTGTCCTTGTTCTCCAGCCTCCTAAGGTATGACACACTAGTCACCATCTGTAGAACAATACTCCCTTCATGTTATGCATTATGACATCTTCTTAGACTTTATTCCCAGAGTAAATGGTTCCAGGTCTGCACCATAGACACGCCTCCCCCTAGCACCCCAACTACTCTACAGATGGCAAACCTAGGACTGTGATTTCTCATACAATTTAGCTTTTATACTCCCTACAAACCCCAGTGTCTTGGGTTGCATTGTTTTAAGAGGTTACAACTTTCATTGAATCGTTCTTATTTGTTGTGTCAAATAGGTGAGCCAGTTTTTATTCATTTAATCTAAGACTTGGTTGTATCAAGAGTTTAGAGAAGTTATTGGAGGATGGATAGGAAGGCAGTGAACACTGATATCTTTGAAAGAACACTATAAGGTTTTCTTCCCAATATCAGTACTCACAAGAAACCCACTTGAAGACATCATATGCTTATCAACCAACCCCCTCATGCCCTGCCAGACATAACTGATTAGCATCCACCTTTCTTGAAGTATGTGTCAAGTAGCAAAAAAAAAAGGGAGTGTCTGGCCTACAGTGTTACCAGAGCTCTACCAAGTGGGCATAGGGCTTCCTAGCACTTAGAAAAGGCACTGAGCTGTAGCAGACACAGAGAGTTCCTTGAAATGGTGGAATTTGAGCTTGCCTTTACTAGGTAGAAAGGAGATCAAATTTTCTAACAGGCTTGAGTAGGTTTGGCCTGGGTGATGAGCCACAACTAAGCTTGCTGGCTAAAAACACAGAGCATGTGTTGGAGACTGCAGAGGCTGGAAACAAACAGTGACCCATCAGAATGAGTGCAAGATGTTCAGGGGGAAGGCACTATGTGTGTGGCTCTAGGTAAGCTATTAAACTTTTTGAACTTTGGGGGTACTGTTTTTAATATGAAGGCGAGCCAGTCTCTACCCAAGAAGGTAACTGTTGGGTTCAAGTGAGATAACTGAGTGCAAATTCTTTGTAAATGTGAGGGACTAAGAATTGAATAACTGGTGATAATGTGGTGGTGCCTAATTACAGGACCAGAACCCCTGTGTCTAGGGTCAAGGAAAATAAAAATTGCAAATCTAAGTGAAGTCCCAACCAACTGGATTTCCCATCTTGATCAGTTCAATCTGGTGAGTTTAGCAAAAGGCATGTGGCCTGACCCACATGGATCGCAGGAGAGTCTCCTCAGGCACCACGGCATAGCCAGCAGCTGAAGCAGCAGTTCTGACTCCCAGAACTTGAGATTGCATTCCATGTCACAAACATTTGAGCAAGGGTGTGAGAGCAAGTTGCCAAGTAGCACAATGGAAAACAAATGTCTCATTGTGTTTGTTGCCACACACTGGTTTTGTGAGGTTCCAAAAACCATCCAGGGATTGTGACCGAAATGTGACAGTAATTTGTAACAATGGTGACATTTTTTTGTCTACTTTTGTGACATCTCCAAAATCTTGAGAAAGGGCTGCGAAAGAAATGTTCAGAAATGTTCTAAATGGGCTTAGAAAACTTGTGAACCCTGTCTGAACTTTCATTAGATTCTCCCACTCTCACCCATTTGACATCAGAACAAGGAGAGCATTATTTATAACAGCATGTGTGAAATCCCAGAAGGGATTCTTGAAAGAATTAAAGTGAAAAATCTGTCCAAGCATAAAATAAATGATCAGATGGGAAAACACGTAAATCAAAATTTGAACCTTATTTTTTCTCCTTTAAAGGAAACAGGAGCTTTTTCTTTGGCCATTAACAGTGCCAGACAGAAAACCTGGCAGAGTAGGTGCTGTGGTCATGGGGTCACAGGGCACTTGTCATCGCACCGAGGAGTGTGGGAGAGATGTATGTGTTGACTGACTCTCCTTTGAGTCTCCAGAATAGCTGCTTCCCTTGTTGAGGAACTCAGACAGTCAAATGACAGAGAAGGAAGCAATGCCTTCAAACTATTTAGTGCACTGAAATTTATATTATCTCCTTAGGTATTAACCTCACAATAACCCTGGAAGGTATTCACTGGTACCCACATTTAATATTTGAAGAAAGTAAGGCACAGAGAGGTTTGGCAACTAGTCAAGTGTACCCCACTAGGAAATGGCACACTTAGGGTATGCCCCGAAACCCAGCATTTCCAGTTTCATGAATTGAGTGTTATCACTGCACTGCGGCTGGGAATCCACAGTGAATATAGGAAGCCTGGTATCTGGCTGGATTAATGCATCCCAGAGTGTGTTTTTTAGCTGTCTGCTTCTAGATGTTTCTAAATGGTTCTGTACCTCTCTCCTTCTCCCCCACAAACACACCTTCAAATTAGTTTACCACCATCATCCTTTCTGGTCAGCCAGTGCCGATGTCACACAGGTTGTGTTTCAGGTATCAGCCCTGATGGTTGAGTATTGCCACCACTCTCAGTCTTGTCCATGCAGCTCCATGAGGGAAGTCTGTGCTCATTGAACAGTGACTACCTGTCACTGCAGGGGTGAGAAACAAGTGAGAAAATCGAAAGGCAGTGAAAGACAACCAGCCTCTACTTAGTGTGAGGGCTTTTGGTGTCTTCAAAACTAAACAATAAAAATATGAGGGCACCTTAACCCTGAGCCAGCAAGTTGCATTCCTGCTTGTCAGATTTGGAGTCACTGTACAGAGAAGAATGGAAAACAACAAAAAGCACCATCCTCCTTTCACATGTGTGGGTTGTTGTTTGTTGTTGTTGTTATTGTTATTGTTGTATGGTTTTTTGAGGCATTATTTGAAACCATCAAGCATATTAGACATCTCTGACCCTCCCAGCTCCTTGGGCTCTGAGTTAAGCAGCATTTCTCAGGCACTGTTAGCCCACTTCCTTCCTTAAATGAGTCAGAAATGGATATTTGAGACTTGTAATTGTGGCTTTAGTCTCAGAACCCAGAGACTAAGAGGTGTCCACGAGGTCAAATTCCTGGTGACTGTAAGCTCCCCTGCTGCCCAGTGTCAGGCACGACATTTGAGCTGATTGTGCTGAGGTTCACCAGCATGAAAAATGGGACCTACTACCCATAGTGCTACTGTGCAGAAATCTGATCACAGTTGTAAAATCAGACAGCCCCAGTGGGCTACAAACCTGAAAATGGAATGCTTCACTTTTCTCTAGGAAGTAGGAAATTGACAAGTCTTCTTTATCAAACAAAGTTCTCTTTGCCTATACTAATGCTCTTGAAATTTAATGCCTCAGCCACCATATTTTAACTGAAATGGGCTTTTCAGAATCATAGTTACATGTTTATTTTTGTAAATACACTCAGCTGCAGTGCCCTGTCACAGAGAAAAGTTCTGAGCTTGGAGTCCAAAAACCTGACTTCTTTATGTAAATAGTCATCTGAACCCCAGTTGCCTCATCTGTAAATGGGAATAATTTCTGTCTTACTCATCTCTGGATTGTGGGAAAGGTGTTTGAAGAAGCACTGTACACTTGTCCTAACACCTTAAACTGGAAGAAAATTCTGGCCTCAATAAGGAAGTAGAGTCACTTGGTGGACCATTTGGGAATGAAGAGACCCTTACTTATTATCCTGGTAAAAGTTATCTTGTTCATTAGAAGGCTGAGTCATCCAGAAAATGTGTGTATGTGTTTTACCAAATGAACGTCCACCTAATTATCAGCTCTGCTCCTGTCTAGTTTCAAGAGAGAACTGGAAATATGAAAAAGATTTGTTGACCATTCTTTGCCTTCTTTCTCTGGTGCTTGAGATTATAAAGAAATTGTATTTTCTTTATGTGTTTATAAACAATTAAAATAATAAATTTAAATAAAGGAATGGAAGAAAAAATTCCCCCACATCTCCCTTCTACGCCTTTTCCATTTATGGTGGGAACTTAGTTTGGGGGTGACTAATGCCTCTTTTTCACCCCTTATCTGCCAGGTTGGTGGCCACACAATGCTGCCTATTCGCTGGATGCCTCCAGAAAGCATCATGTACAGGAAGTTCACCACAGAAAGTGATGTCTGGAGCCTGGGGGTCGTGTTGTGGGAAATCTTCACATATGGCAAACAGCCCTGGTATCAGCTGTCCAACAATGAGGTGCGCAGTGGGCTGGGTGAGACCCTCTTAAAAGGCTGACACCAAGAGGTGCCCCTTTGCCAGAAGTTAGGACGTGATCTAATGTGGCTTTTTTTGGTACAGCACTTCCAAAATGGCCTGCTATGTGCCTAAATGCCATGCAAAGAAGAGTCACTTGCAAACTTTAAGAGTTAGGAAAATGACTGTTTGCTGACATGCTTGGCATCCTCTGGTGATGGGACCCAGGAATCACTGTGTGCTGCTCATCTAGCAAATTAATAACATATGTGACATTCTAGCACCCTTAGAGTGCAGCTAGCATTTGTGTATTATTCCAATAAGGTCTCAAGTTTCTTTCCTTTTTGCACATTTCACTACACCATGCATTTCTGGTGAAAAACTCATTTTGTTTTCCTATTCTAACCCTTTTGCAAATATGTCTATATTTGAGGCATAGATTCTTGGTCAAGCACCTCACATCTTCTTTAGGCCCAAGTCTGTCTTTTACCTAAATTCATTACCCAAAATGAACACTTATTTCTATACTCCAGGGGATCCCTCATCAGTCAAAACCCTGACGCAGAGGTGACCTAGGTTCCATCTCGGGCTGGTAAAACTAAAACACATTGCAATTCTAGGGTGAGATTTGGGACCACTTATACAAGCAAGTTTTCTTCTCTAGTCTGGTGAAATCAATGTGCTTGAAAATGCACGTTGTAATACAATGTAATACAGTTAAACAAAATATGCAAACCTATAATAATTGCTCTCCTCTTTCTGAAAAAAATAAACACCAAGTGGGTTTCTTTAAAGCAGCTCTCTCTTTGTGCTGACATTTATTTTATCTGTATTGTTTTTCCTCTTGTCTGATCCCATCTTTGATCTCCACCCAGGTGATAGAATGCATCACTCAGGGTCGAGTCTTGCAGCGACCTCGAACGTGCCCCCAGGAAGTCTATGAGTTGATGCTGGGGTGTTGGCAGCGAGAGCCCCACATGAGGAAGAACATCAAGGGCATCTATACCCTCCTTCAGAACTTGGCCAAGGCATCTCCGGTCTACCTGGATATTCTAGGCTAGGGCCCTTTCCTGCAGACCAATCCTTCCCAAAGCACCTCCTCAGATGGGCCGAGAGAGTGAACGTCTTTTAACTGCTGCTGGATGCCATCAATCTGCTGTTCTCTACTCTGACAGTATTAACAACAAAGACACCAAGAAGCTTTCAGAGGGAAGCAATGTGTACTTCTCCATCCGTAGACACAGTATGGACTCCTTTTTGGCATTATCTCTTTCTCTCTTTCCATCTCCCCGGGTTTGTTCTCTAGTTTTTGTTCTCTTTTTGTTTGTTTGTTTCTTTTTTTTTTGGTCTTCCCTGCTTCACAGTTCTTACCCTTTCTTTCTAATCAATCTGGCTTCTGCATTACTCTTAACTCTGCATAGACAAAGGCCTTAACAAACCTAATTTGTTATATCAGCAGACACTCCAGTTTGCCCACCACGACTAACAATGCCTTGTTGTATTCCTGCCTTTGATGTGGATAAAAAAAGGGAAAACCAATATTTGACTTAAACTCTGTCACTTCTGCTGTACAGACATCGAGAGTTTCTATGGATTCACTTCTATTTATTTATTATTATTACTGTTCTTATTGTTTTTGGATGGCTTAAGCCTGTGTATGAAAAAGGAAAACTTGTGTTCAATCTGGGAAGCCCTTTAATTATGGGAGATTAAAACCAGAGAGAAAGAAGACTTATTATAAACCACAATATGAGAGGAATAAAGACAACCATTGGGATCAGCTGGCGTCAGTCCCTGCTTAGGAAAAACCCAGCAACTGTTAGCTGGGAGGAATGTATTTGGCATCTTCCCTTGAGGATCGTTCTGAGGAGTAAAAAGACTGTTGAACTCTGTGGCATGGACTATTCATTTCCCATCACCAGAAACTCTAGAGTATAGTAGAGAGAAAAGATGGCTTCTGCAAGACACAAGATGGTATGTCACATGCTCAGAGAGTCTTGTCTTTGTAGATCACGGTCATAGCACTGGGTTGTTGTCCTAGTGTTATCCAATGATCCTTTGTCAAGTTCTGTTGAAACTAGGTGGATTCTTGGCCTGAGATCATTTCAGGGTTGGTTAGGAAAGCCAAGTATTTGGAAAAGATAGGACAAGCTATACATTCAGAGACAAGCTTCTCTTATATTGAACTTTTCAGATAGCACTTCCCTCCAACCCCTACCACCACCCACCTGTCCTTTTAACTGTGCAAGCAAAAATGTGCATGGTCTTCGTCAATTAATACCTTGTGTGCAGAAACTACTGCTCCAGACATTGTGCCCCTGATATGTAGAACAGATTTATAAAAGGTAGAACTTATATAACTAGGGGAAGCTGATGGAGTTCATTAGCCAAGTATAAATGTCTCTGGGCTGTAGGGTGGTGATGGGTTTTAATAAACATGGACCCTGAAGCCTGGGTGTCCTCATGCACGTCGAATACGCTGTGAGACTGTGGGACTATGGGAAAGGCGAAGTCAATGCCCGAGGGAAAGGAAACCTCCTCTCTGGGGATATCTTATGCGTTGATGTTCAGCGTACACAGGCCAAGTCCTTGCTCTGGGCTCCGGTTGGGAGAGTGGTTCCATTCCGAATGTACTCCACAGTCAGTGTGCTGTTTTGTTTTCTTCACTCCATTAAAAGAAGTAAAGTAAAAAATTATGCACAGCATGCCAATGAGAAGCTATGCCCAGACCAAGCTTTGGAGGTGTGCTTCTGGGCACAGTCACAGGTTTTGTGAAATGAGGTTGTAAATTTAAATAAAAATTTACAGTTATTCAGATGATCAGTTACACCAAGGAAGAAAAATACTTCTGTTCCTCAAGAAAACTTGCTACCCTCTGTGAGGGGAATTTTGTTAACTTGATATCTTTATAACACAAGCCAGATTGAAAAGGAGTGATTTTAATTCATTTTAAGTCATTTTATTTCATATTTGTTTCTGAAGGTGCAATTGCTCTGTTTAGGTTTTGCTTGTGCCCTTAATCACTAGAATACCTTATTTTCCATTATAGGGTTTGAAAGCCAGTTCTCAAAAAAATAAAAAACAAACAAAAATATTGATTCACAGAGAACAAGAGGAAATCCATTAGTGTCTGCAGTCAAGTGAAGGGGGTCGGACAAGACAAACCTTACAGTCCCTTCAAGTTCTGCGCTGGCCTATGAGGCATGGGAGTTGAGTTGTTTGTTCTCTTTGTCAGTGAAAAAACCCTCCAGAATACATATAATAATATAATGAAAGCCATATCTCCATGATATATACCTGCACGTATATATCCTATTAAGGACCCATGGTACTGTTAAAACACTGTGGCACTCTGTGAAGCAGTGCAAAGGGGCAGATTTGTACAAAATTTTTCTAGATTCCATCAGCAATGACCTGAAAACCTACAAGGTTTGCCATTTGGCCAGCTGCTCTGGGGGAAGACACTGCAACTTCTTTGTTGCACTTTAACAGAGAGCAAAGAGGCAGTGCTCTAAAGGATCACATCTGAGGAGGGCTGCGCAGTTTTAGAGCAAGGATTTTCTAAGGCAAATGAGAAGACAAGAGCATTCCATTCCATTCCATTCCATTCCATTCCATTCCATTCCATTCCATTCCATTCCATTCCAGTATTGTTTTCTTCTGGAGAAAAAAAAAAGCAAAAACAAAAAACAAAAAAAAACCCCAAGAAAACAAAAATAAAAACAAAACAAAACTCTCCTTACCTTTTGACAAGTCCCTCAAGGTCTTGGAATGAAAGGTCCTATGCAAGTGCAAAGCTTTCTAGTTATTTATATTGCCGATTATTATTTTTCCTCTGTTGTCTCAAGAGTATGTACTGATTTCAGTGATGTCTTACATTGAAAGAATACCAGATCATTTTTAAAGTAGTTGAATGAACTACAGAGTATCTTCAAATGTCCCACACTGGTCCTCCATGATTTTCTCTTCTTGTGCTATTCTTGTTTTTAGAACAAGAGCAACCTCACTCTAAAACATAATGATCACAGAATACGGCCTGCTATCAGATTCAGTAAAAACCGCAACAATAGTTGTGACAAACCTGATTCTCTTGCCCAAACTCTGGCAATCATTTTCATTAATAAATTGTTTCCTAGTTTCCCAAACAATTTTCACAGATGTTAGCAAATTATTCTCATTTTTTTTAGTAGTTGAGGAAATTGAGACTTGAGGAAGTTAAATGGCATGCTAGAAATCTCCAGGCTAGCTTCTGGCACCACTGGGACTAAACCTAAATGTTCTGACTCTGAAGTTCATGATTCAGTCCACTAGACACTCCAGTCCAGGAAAGAAAAATGCTAACAAGTTCATGGGGCAGGATATGAAGTTTGAAGAGCAAAATGAAACATGTGAGATGACAGGCAGCTGAGATATAATCAATCATGCTCATAGCTTCAGCTAAATACTTATACACTAAACCAATGTGAAAATCAGGCTTATTTAGATAATATTTTGAACTATGCTATAAAGAATTATATCAGAATTCATATTATACATATGTGTTCACATCAGCATTACCTGTGGTATGTTCATGCATTTATATGTGTTATAAATACTTGATTTATACATAGACAAACACACATATGTAGTGTGTTTGTGTGCTTATGTATAAATTTATAGGCACACAGCATTAGAAATAAGTAGGGTGCAGTATGAATAATTTACTTAAAATCTGCTAAATAACCAAAACTTTTAACATCATTTGCCATTAATACTTCCATTCTCCATATGGATAGGACTACACTGCTCTTCTCAATTCTGTGCAGTACTATATGGGTGGAAGGCCTAGTTAAGATAATGTGCTTCCCAAAACAACTGACTCAAAGCCATCCCACCACACTGAGTCCTTTCTCTGGCTCCTTGCAAAGGAAATGTGAATTGAATTAGATCTCCTTATGTAAAGGTCCAGGAAAGGAAAAATGGGCATCTTTTTATCTCTTTTGCACATTCGTATTATGTCATCTTGTCCCACTATGACCCCTTTATACGGGTGTTCAGAGTTCCAGCATTCCAGAAAAGAGCAGGAATGCTGGGAGCCCAGTGTCTCAAAGGTCAGTGGGGAGAAGTCTGAGACCCCACAGTGAGGTGAGAGATTCTGAGGAATTCCCACATCCGAGTGGGAATGCAGACAACAGTGTGCAAGGCTGTCCTTTGCAAAAAGCCATGACAAAAGGAGCCCCTGGTCAGAAATGGGCTTATTTTTTCCCCTTTCCTTCTGCAAACCGGACTCTCTATAATGCTAACAGCATTAAATTGTATCTCTAATAACTTAAATGACTGCATATATGCACTCTCAATTTTCTTGCTTTCTCTCTCTCTCTCTCTTTATCCTGCCAATCAAGGACTTTTATTCCCAATGTTGAGCTTTGGTTAGGTCCTCTGTCACTGTTACAGAAAATTCCATGAGAGGGGTGGCTGGAGATAACAACTCCTCAGATGGCTCAACAAGCAGTTAAAGCAATTTCTTTATGATGCATCATTGTGGAATGCAGAGACTCCAAGGTTGTGATGGTGAATGTTATCCTGAAGAATTAGAGGTGGGCAGGATTTGTAGTTCAATACGACAGCACATGAAGAATATTTCCTTGTTGTTAAGGCTGCAATGAATCACTACTTCTCGAGTCAGAGGTTATTCAATTATCTTTAGGTTTTGAATTTCTCCCTTTCTCCTCCACTTACATTATTTATTTATTTATTTATTTATTTATTTGCTTCATTTATCACAAACACAAAGCAAAGCAAAAAAATATATTTGTGTATGTGTTGCAGGCAAAACACTGTGAATTTCACAACAGCAACCAAGCAACTATTTTGCCATCTTACCATGCGTCTCAGGAGATGAAATGGGGAAACGTGGGATGTCATTTTTTTTAGGCTATGCATTCTAGGCCAGGTCTGTGTTTGTTTCATTTCTTTAGTCTGTGCATTCATAAAAATGATCCTGAGTGAAGGATGGCTGAATGTTGAACATTCTGGAGCAAGCATCATAAAAATTGCTAATACTCATGTGTTTGAACTGGAA